CTGACAGATGAGCTGAAGCCACTGCAGAGTGGAGGCTTTAGGTGAGAAAGCCTCCCAGAAAGCTTTTCCCAGCGAGGCCCAGGCTTGCTCGATACACAAAAGGGCGCTGGAGGAGCTGCTGTGAGGGTGTGGCTGGGTGGCCAGTTCATTTCTGCCTGACCTGCCGCGTGGTGAGCTGGGAGCGTCCCTGCCTCACCAGCCCAGACCTGCCCCTGCTCCCCAGACAGCCCTGCACGCAGGGCCCATCACAGCCCCGCCCGGGAATGCACACTCCCGCCCCGTGGACACTCCTGCCCAGGGAGATAGTGTGTGACTCGGATCCCAGGATGTCAGGGTGACATCAGCGACTCATTGCTCCGGATGCCACAATGGCGTGCCTAGGATAAGGAGGGTGGCAGGGTGGGGGCCGAGCATGGGCCCCATAGTGACCCAGCTCCCTCCCCTTCCATCTGAGGGAGTCCAGGGTCTACGTGAAGGTGCTCGTTCTCTCTCAACTCTCCTCTGCTTTGTGACGATGGAGCTGTTGACCTCACTTAGAGGCAACTTGAGTTTCCTTTCCATTCTTCCGTCCCTCAATCCCCCTGCTTCGTGCTTTCGTTTTTCTCTACCTCTGATCATCTCATCCCTTGGTCTGACTGAGTCTCCTCCCTTCTCTCCCCTTCAGTTTCCCCCATTTGCTCTCCGGCTCAAGGCCCTGGATTCCTCTGTCTCCTCTCTGCCCACCCCACCCTCCTCACCCCTGCCAGCTGCACCAGCTCCCTCAGTCCCATGCCTGTGGGTTCAGGGCCACCCTCCACTGGCTGCTACAGATAGGAGACCACACTTTTTCAAAGGTGACATCACAAAATAATGAATCTCCTTTCTCTCTCCCACCCCCCCACCCCCAACACACACAGCTTGTCTGTGGGAGACCAGCGGCTGTGAAGTAGCTGCTCGGCCCCACACCTCTCGCCAAGACTTTCAGGGGCTCTTTCGGGTGCCACGTGGCCAGGGAGACCGCAGGTCACGCTCCAGCAGATGCCACGGAGATCATCTGGTCTTGGGGGCAGGTGGGCTGTGGGTTTTGTGAAACAGAAAGATGGGTTAAGGACGCTTCCATTCCTACCGCCTCAGGAACAGGACTCCTGTCCACCCCACCCAGTGCCCTCGGGATGGAAGCCTCTGTCCCCTCGTTGTCCCTCACCTGAGACGGGCCAAGTGGATGTTCTCATAGACCTGGACTTCAGGTTTGAACTGAGGAACCGAGGCATCTGGGGAGAAGGAGCCACATGGAGTGAGGCAGACAGCCACCAGATAGCCCAGAGCTGCCTGCCCTCTCCTCCCCTCCCCTGGAGAAGACGGGGTACAAAGGCAATGTGAGCCCCCCTCCACCTTGCACCCAAGTGCTCTCTTCTTCCCCCTGCGGGGGGGGGTCCTTACCTCTGCACTGAGCCCCCTGGACCCTCCGCCTCCAGAGCATGATGCTTAGGAACAGGACGGCGAAGGCCTGGCCTACTGTGAACAGCAGCATCAGGATCCAGGGCACATCCCAGCCCGTGGACGGGGCACAGGGGGCAGGGGAGGCATCCGTGGGGGCTGTATAAGGGCAAGAGGAAAGGAGGGAGGCAGTGAGGGGGTCTGTCCCTGTGCCCCAAAGAGAGGCTTCCCACATCGACTGGTGGGCTCTCCCAAAAGAAGACTTCCGAAGTTTCCTTGTCCCCAGGACCCACCCCCACTTTGCCCCTTTCTAGGTCTCTCACCCTGACCCATGAGCCAACGCCTCCCACACCCAACACACACAGACAGCTAACTCCAGAGCAGACTGCCAGCCAGGCTGTCATTCTCCTCATACCCCGCACAGTAATCCACCCTTTCAGGGGGAAAAAGTGCTTTGCATATATTCATTCTTCCAGTCACTCACTCCATAGCATTTGCTGAGTGCCCACCACATGCCAGGCACCGTGGGCAAGTGGGTGTCGGGGCAGCAAAGCCCACCCCCCGCCATCATTGGAAGTAATGGCCCTGTGCTCCTCCCTCCCGCCCCCCCGCCATCATTGACCTTTGCTGATGGAAGTAATGGCCCTGTGCTCCTCCCTCCCACGTGTAAAGGGCTATTCCACACCCAATAGCATTCTTTCTTTGTATAATGGACTTTTTCTGGTAAAACAATCACATGTTTTTCTCCTTCTGCCTTTACTATCAATGGCCATTATAACATCCGTGCATATATCTTTTCTTCAAAAGACAATTACTACCCCAGCAATGATTCTTATTTTCTTCCTCTCTGCTACGGGATATTTCACACAAATCATAGGTTAGCCTATTTTTAAACAATGACATATTCCACAGAAATCTTCTCCCCGCTCTTGGCTATTGTCTATTCCACCAGGAAGTTGGCTTAACCACCCCCTCCTCGGTTATGGTTACGGCTTCAGCTGAGGGGGGAGGGGCCCTCCTCCGGCAGTGATGGTCAGCTCCACCAGAGACCACCCTCCTGACTGGCCGATAACAAATTCGCCTCTTTCTCACCTCCTCCCCTGGCCAGCAGGGTGGATGTGCCAGAAGGAACACCCTTCCCATACCCCCCTGCCCCCGCACCCCGTTACCTGCCAGGCTAAAGCTGACCCCCTTGTTCTGAGGCACGACACAGCGGATGAGCCTGGGCCTGCGGCCCCTGGACTCAGGAAGCCCCTCCCCAGGACACACCAAGAGCAGGGCAGCCCCGTCGCCCCAGAAGGCCTGCACATGGCCCCTCACAGGGCCCCTCCCCTCCACCCAGGTCACAGAGTCCAGGCGCCTGGCAGGGACCACAGAGCACAGGAGGACAGAGCAGGGCGCTCCATCGGCAGCCTTGGCAGATAACTGGGATCCTGCGGGAGAGAGGGGCCCCTCAGTTCCTTGCTCGGGCTTCCCCATCTCCCAGTGGCCCCTGGTCTCATGCCCCCACTCACCTCTGAGCACGGAGACATCATACACCCGCCAGTTATGGTATTTTTGGCGCTGACCCAGCACCGCGCACCAGTACCGCCCAGCATCTCCCTCCTTGGATCCTTCCAGCCACAAAGAGTAGTTCCCCAGCAATTTGAGCCTGGACTCCCTTCCAGGCTTTCCAGGGTCTGGGGCTGGCCTGGCCACTTGGATTTGGGTCACCAGGGCAGTGGAGGAGCCTGCTGCAGGGCTGCGGAACCAGGACAGGAGTTCGTCCCCATGTAGGGTGGGTGGCAAGGGACATGGTAGCTCCATTGCTTCTCCCAAGGCCACATAGATGGCCTGGATGTTGTCTGTAGGGAGGGGCTTGTGTGAGGCCAGATACCTCCATGAGATCAACCCCCCCCACCCCCCCCACCCCCATCTCAACCTCCAACCCCTGGCTTCCTTCCTTCCTGAGGTCTCCGGGCACTGGTCTGGCTATAAGCACACTTCACAAGGGACAGCTACAAAAACGGTGAGATGGAGAGAGAGGGTAGGGGCTTTCCTCCCTTTCCCCAAATGCACGAGGGAATCTGAGGGCAAGAGAGAAAAGGTGGAATAGTTGGCAAATACCCGTATTTCTTCCTCTCATTTCTCCTTTTCTGGAAATACTCACCGATTCTCATTTTCTAAAGGAAACTGCACATGACCTGGGTCCTCAGGGTCTCTGGGTCTATCCCAGTGTTAGAGATGGGGAGGTCAGCTGGGGAAAATCTACCTTCGTGAGTCGATGCCTGCCCCAGGCCCCTAAGGAGAAGTGGCAGCCTTGCAGAGTCCCCGCCTCCTGCTCTTTACCTGCAGCAGCCTGAGGAGGCCCCCCGAGGAGGAGGAGGAGGAGGAATAAGACCGCCATGGGAGAGCCTTTCAAGTTCTCTTGCCTGGGACCTGGTGTCCCCGGGAGGAAATAGAGCCCAGATAAAGGCCCTGCCCTCCCTGGTCCGGAGTGACACAGGCCTCTGGAGGGGATGGGAAGTTGGGGAGATAAAGCCTAGTTGCAAGTCCACTGGCAGAAAATGACCACTGCCTCTCTGTCCTGATGGGAAAGAGGCCCAGTCCAGGCCGCTCCGAAGACAGCCCCCTCACCCTTCTGACTCCTGGCCCCACGTCGGTGGAGGGACCCCGGCAGAAGCCTCTCCATGCCGAGAAGCCTGCACAGAAGGGGTCCTGCCAGTTTGGAAGCCTTTTTTCCTCCACCTTAAGAGATGCCGCTGTGAGGGAAGGAACTGAGTCTCCAGGTTGGTCTCCATGGAACCCCGCATGAGACTGTATACCCAGTCAATATCTTAGAAATTATTTAAAATGGCCTTCCTTGCCCTAACCTGTTTGGCTCGGTGGATAGAGCATCGGCCTGTGGACTGAAGGCTCTCAGGTTCGATTCCAGTCAAGGGCATGTACCTTGGTTGTAGGCACATCCCCAGTAGGGGGTGTGCAGGAGGCAGCTGATCAATGTTTCTAACTCATTGATGTTTTTAACTCTTTATCCTTCTCCCCTCTTCTCTGTAAAAAATCAATAACATATATATATTTTTAAATAAATAAATAAAATGGCCTTCCTTGGGGCTGCCTGGCACGCCACAGATCTCTTCTCTTCAGCCTCTGATGAGTATATGAAGTTATTACTCAAGGAGGAGAGTAGCAAGGACCTGGAAAATTCACTGGCCCCAGGCAGTGCTCTCAAGGCAGATCTTCAAGTGGCCTACAGTTTTTAATGTGTTATTTATTTTTAAAGGCTACTTCTTCTAAAAAAATTTTTTTTGTCAAACAGTCTATATTAAGTCTAATCAAATAATTGAATCGATATCCCCTCCTGTGGGAACAGACCTTTAGGCCACTTCACAATGGACATTCCCTTTTGCTTAGACCACATTCCACTTGCTAAGACCATTATATCTCCCCACTCTGGAGTTTCCCAGGATCCGGACCTGCACAGAGAATTCTCTGCCCAGAAAAAAAACCCCAACTAGAGTCATTTAAAAACCTCTAATTTCCCATCTTTGGGGGTGCTGGCACCATTTTGGGGCTCAGCCCATCTGGTCTCCAGATGACCTAACCCTATATAATAAAAGCCCAATATGCTAAGTATCCAGTCATCTGGTCCTCTGTTCAACCAATTAAAGTGTAATATGCTAATGATATGCTAAGGTTGCTCAATCGCTGGCTATGACATGCACTGACCAACAGGGGGCAGACTCTCAACACAGGAGCTGCCCCTTCGTGGTCAGTGCCCTCCCATAGGGGGAGCGCTGCTCAGCCAGAAGCCAGGCTCACAGCTGGCAAGAACAGCGGCGGTCGCAGGAGCCTCTCCCGCCTCTGCAGCAGCACTAAGGAGCAGCGAAATGAGTGGTAAGTAGCAAGCAGGTGGGTGGTAAGGAGCGAGGGGTCCCAGAGCTGAAAGGGTGCAGGCCAGGCTGATGGACCCCCCTACCCGTGTACGAATTTTATGCACTGGGCCTCTAGTATATTAATAAAAGACAAAAAGGGTAATGGACCGTAACTTTGCTACGCTTCCCATTGGCTAATCAGCAAGATATGCAAATTAACCACCAACCAAGATGGCGGCCGGCAGCCACACAGCTGAAGCGAGCAGGAGGCTTGCTTGCTCCAGTGATGGAGGAAGCCAAGGTTCCCCGCCTGCCACGGCCAGGCTCTAAGCTCCAAAAGCAACAAAGTTTCAATTATAGAAGCTAAACAAACTCCAGATACTGCTTTCAGCCAGCAACAGCCTCAGAGCTGGAGCCGGGATGCAGAGCTGGAGCCAGCTCTCAGCTCCAGTGATAGAAGGTAAATAAATATAGAAGGTAAATAA